TTTTATTTTTAAATTTTATTTATTTTATTTTTAATAAAAGATTTAAATATTTTTTATGTTTTTCTTAATTTTTTTTTTTTTTAATACCAGGTTTTCTTGAAGCAGGAATGGTCATGAGGCAGGGAGAATGAGCGCAGAGGCTAGGCAGAGGGTACCCTCTGGGGGATTTGTTGGGGGGAATGCTCAGGCACAAAGTGGTTTACATAGAGTAAATGTCTTCAGCCTTTCTAGAGTACTGTATGGGCTGAGAAGTTTCTGCAGACCTCTCTTAGCAACTTCAAGCTGTTTGCAGTGATTTTACCTTATCTTACGTGTTAGTCAGCTTTTGCTTACAGTAACAAACATCTCCAAATCCTAGCTGCTTGCAACAGCAAACGTTCACTTGCTCAGGAGGCTGCAGGCTGGTAGTCACAGCTCTGCTCCAGGTTGGGGGTTGAGTGCAGGTGTGCATTGCATGTCTCATACAGAGACCCAGGCGTGAGGGGTAGTGGCTCCCTGGGGTACACGTCCCATGGCAGATCCCGGGAGTGCAAGATGCTAGGCCAAACCTCGTAAGCTCATTGGAAGCCTGCACTCAAATGTACCTTATATCGTGTCCACACACATTCCATTGACCAAAGCAAGTCATAAATATAATAGCAGCTCGGTCTTAATAGGCTTTTCCCATGGAAAAGAGTTGATTGAGTAGGGTGGGGATTCTTGTGGAGGAGGGGGGACGGCTGTTGAACTTCAGTTCACCTGGGGGCCACCACCCTCACCCCACACAGCCTCTCCGGAGCAAGTTCTCATTTGGATGCCCGCTTGAGACTCCAGATGCAAGTCATCGTCCTGAGCCATGGTTCCCTAAGTCCGCTTAGGGGAGAACAGAGAGGTTTATTGAATATTGTGGGTTCAGGTGTTCTCTGCATCACTGCACCGAGAGAGTGCTTTTCCATGTTTGATAATCACCTGGTTGTGCACTGGATACATGGGACGAGAGATGAGAAGTTCTGAGATATGTGTCACAGATAGGGAGTGATCTTCACCGCAAACTCTATGGCAGCCTCGAGAAGAATGAGGCTTGGCTATTGCTTTTAAAGAAATCCTGGATCAGTGCAGAAATAGGTTTCCCGTGCCTTTGTGCCTTACATGAGAGAGACACCAAAGGGAATTGGAATATGGTTGGGAAGGGGGCGTGCATGCACCCCAGACTGACTTCTTCCTCCCCAGGTGGCCCAGTACATAAAGTTTGAGATGCCCGTCCTAAAAAGCTTCATCCAGAAGCTCCAAGAGGAAGAAGATCGGGAAGTCAAGAAGCTGATGCGCAAGTACGCGTGCCCCCAGGGCGGCTGGTTGGGCTTATCCCGGGGCCTCAGGGAGCCGGCTGTCTGTTCGGGTGTCTCGCAGGGACGATGCTGAGCGGCTGTGTGGGCCTGGGTGCCGTGGACCTTCTTCCGGGGGCTTCCCGTGACAAATGTGGATGGGGACGCAAAGCTTAAGTGTGTTGGTCTCTTTGCTTCCTGTGTCAGCTTCTCATTTTGATGTGGGACATAAAAATGTTCAGGGGATTTCAGGAAGGTTGTCTTAGCAGTGGAAAGTAGTCTAAGCAACCTACCTCTGAAATCCTTTCCTCCTACCCTTCTCCCTTCTTTGACATTTCTCTTCTGGAAATTACACTTGGCTTGAAACGTCCAGTAAAGCCTCTCTCTGGCGAGGATTTTTTTTTTTTTAACTTATGATTGAAGTGTAGTTGACATACAGTATTATATTTGTTTCAGGCGTCTGGCACAGCGATCCAACAATTCTATACATTATTCAGTGCTCACCATGATAAGCGTAGTCCCCATCTGTCACCATCCAATGTTATTACAGTTTACTGACTCTATTCCTGACGCTCCACTTTTCATCCCTGTGACTTTTTATTTTACAACTGGAAGTTTGTACCTCCTAATCCCCTTCACCTATTTCACCCTATTTCGCTGGGGAGAATTTTATGATTTTTGTTGTTGTTGTTGCCGTGTTTAGTCATAAAGTGGACTGCTTTTCCGGGATACAGCCAAACGATTGATTGATTTCTGCCCCCGGGAATAGCGCCGATGCTCCATTTGCTTTGGCAATGGTGATCACTAGTATGAAAGCAGTTGACATTTACTGAACACTTGCAACGCGCCAAACTTTAAAGAGAGCTTGTGCCAGGCGGTGCAAAGCCCTGGCCATCAGGAGTGGCCCCCTGAGCCCCGCACAGAGGTTCGCACTGCAGCTTCTGCGCTGGCTCAGTTCAGGGAAGGGGTGGAGACAGGCGCTCGTCAAGCCGTGCACCCCCACGCTTGGTAGTCGCTGTGGTCTGTTCTGCAACACGCAGGGACTGATATTAGCTTGAACCATATGAAGCTGCCATTTTTGTAGGCCCCTCACGATGGTCAAAGAACGGCAATTTCAGATGGTCCAGCCCCGGTGAGGACCCCGTGCTACTTACTGTGTCGCGGTGCCTTGGGCATAGTAAGCGCTCGGTTCATGCAATCCTTCCGGGTGGTGCTGTTTCGCCCTCCGGTCCTTCTTTGGCCAGAGTTTCTAACGGTCGTCAAATCCTCTAGTTTGGATTGGGTCTGCTCAGTACCTCTCATCCGAGTGTGGAAACGAACACGAGCCACAAGGCGGCTGACGGCTGGGCCAGTGTTAGAAGCGAAGGCACCGATAGGTGGCGCCTGGGCCCCGGGCGGTGGGGGAAGATCAAGAGGAGGCGTGTGTTGTTTTCTGCTGCCCATCATGGCTCTTCCTGTCCCCAGGTACACCGTGCTCCGGCTAATGATCCGGCAGAGGCTGGAGGAGATGGCCGAGACCCCAGCAACAATCTGAGCCACACGGAGGAGGGGATCCAGACACCACAGGGGCCGCCGCTGACACGAGAAGACGCACAGGAAGCTGGGTACCTTCCTTCCATGGAAACATGTAGATACAGACCTCTCCAGCTCCCGCCGAGAGCCACCATCTGTTGCCCGGAGCAGAATGGAGAAGCCTGCAGACAACTCCCCATCCCTGGATCCCCACGCTCCACTCCTTTCTTTCCCTCACAAGGACTTCTGAATTTTGTTATAAGGACCCAAAATGTGTGTGTGTGCACGCACATGAGCACACGCATGCACATGTAAGCGTGTTTGCACACATGGTACATATCCACGTGCCTACCTGATATTCACATGGAACTGAATTCCGAGCCACCAGCACCAGCGCCATGGGGGCTTGCAGGTGCACTGCTCGAGGGCAGGAACATCAGAGGAGTCACCGATCTGAGGGGTTGAAGTTGATGTCTTCCCTCAAGGGCCAGGGAGCAGCCACACATGTTTGGAAGGGAAGGGGACTCCGCGAGCTCTCCATTTGGGGTATTTATATATCGGTGGGGATTCTCCCTGTACATCTAGAAGGACTGGGCATTGGAAATTAACAAACTAACAGCCCCATGCCCTTGGGGAAGGTTGGATGGAAAGAGAAAGATAAATCATCTGTGGGGTAGATGCAATAAGCCCACAAGTTTTTACACTGGAAACTCTGATTGTTTAAAATAACAAAGACGTATGTGATCTATGTGGATTCTGCCTCTGTCCTCACCTCCATGGCCATGTCTAGGAGACAGGAGAGGAGCCTGATGTTTCACTCAGCATGCCAACCCCACGCCATGGAAGCCAGCCCCAACTCTTTGGTGCCTCCTTGAGTTGAAGGAAGGGTGTCATGGGTTTATACATGGCCGACTGGCTAGTGTGGCCTGGGCCTGGCCTTGTCCTGGGGTGGTGGCCAGAGTTTCCCTCTTTAGAGAACCACAGAAGCTCCTTGCAGAAGTGACAGATGCCTGGGAGGCCAGCCCATTTCCCATCATCAAGGCCCCTCCTGCACTTGGAGCTGAGGCCATGTGTTTGAGGTCAAGACTTTCTCCTTTCCAACCACAGGATTCTTTCAAGTTGCCCTTCGCTCATGCACGGAGATGGACTCCAATTATGAGGATGACCCTTCTACTGGCCGAGTGTGGGGCTCAGGGAAGCTCTTTGGGCTTCCCTGTGAAGGTGCATAGGGAGGGTGGAGCTTCTCTTTCAGCTTCTCTGAGCAGCCACCTGGGTGATCTTTAGAACAGATCCCAGTGGGGGGAAAGGGTGGGACAGTCTGTCCCCTGTGGCTCCTGTCAGGAAGACCGCTGGGTAGCTGGGCACCAGTGTGGCTGATAACAGTTTGAAGAAGGACAGATGCTTGGAGCAGGGTGCATGGCAGGTAGGCAGGAGAGGCTGGTTGGGCTTCTCCCGGGGCCTCAGGGAGCCGGCTGAGGGCCCGGAGCTCCTAACAGCAGGTGTCTCAGCCTTGATGAGGGAGGGTCTCCCCATCTCTTCACCTCCTCTCCAAGAAAGGTTTGGGGAGCTGGGCAGTTGGTGGAAGGAGGGCCATTGGCCGGTGTCCGCAAGGAAGATGGATGTTTGCAGTGAAGCCGTTCCTGCCCCCTCCTGCCTCCTGTTCCCCTCTGTGGCTTCCGTGGCCTCTTTAGAGGGCTCGCAGCTGTGGTCTTATTGTTGACTTTCACAAAGATGGCGTTTTGCCACCTGGCATTTTGCCGGGGGTCTCTTAGCAAGGCGACCTCCTCTGCGGGGACAGTGCCACCAGCCCTATGGGGCGTGGACTGGAAATCCGGAGGCTTTAGTCTCAATCATACACCTCGGTGGGCCGCTGCAAAATGCACAGAAAAGCCGGGGGCAGGGGGGAGAGGCTTCCTTTGTTACAGATGGGAAAGAGCGGGTTTGTGAATGCAAACACACTTCCTGAGTTTTGCATTTGAGATGACTTAAGAAACTTCTCTTCCAGTTGCTTTTATTTTGAATGTTCAAAGCCTGTGTTGACCCCAGTCATTCTCCCTGGTGGGCTAGGCAGAAAAATTTCCACAGAGCAAATTACTAACCACTAACTTGTTGGACAGCGATTTCTCATTTATAAAAGTTCTCTTTGATTTGCACTAGCATTACGATAGTTTAAATATGGAAATGTTGCAAGACGTTAGGTTTGCCAGCTTCCTTTCTGAGAAAGTGATACTAAGGTAGACCTGGCTTCTTAAAGATTGTGGGGGGGCGGTCAGGGTAGAAGTCAGGGGAAATCACATCTTACAGGATGCATCCCACTTACCGTGGGCCCTACTTTTCCATTTTGGCCCACCCTGTTTAGAGATCGTCTCTCACGTCCTAGTAGCCCGATCAGGAATTTTGGAAAGGTCCTTTGAAATAACAGCGCCTGAAACAGAGACACTTCTCTGCAGTGTGGAGCCGGATTTTCTCACTGGTATCACATGGCTTTGCAGCTTTGAATTCCTCTACTGATTTGTGTGGGTTTTTGTAATTGCGTGCAATGAACCTGAAATCGTGTGAAGAACAAAAGGCCAATTTATAGGTTTTTTTTCCTAACTTGTGAAAAGCAGGATAGCCACATCTGACTTTCTTTTTCTAGGGGCTTTTGTTACAAGGTGATCAAATGAAGGAAAAACCTGAGTCCATATGGCTGGGAAGGGGGTCCGTTCCCCCAGGTGATGGTGGAATTAAGCACAAGGTCACATTTTCAGTGATCACATGAGTGGGCAGGTGATGAGTTAAATGGGGGGGGTATCTTGGGGAGGGACTGAGAAGCACAAACAGCAAGCTTGCCTATGCGGGCTGGTGAGGAATGTGTGCACTGGGCTCTAGGCCGATGGACTTGAATTCTAAGTGAGGTTGAGGAAGGGAGGAGCTCAGATTAGCCACCCACCTGTGAGAAAAACGCTGGGACCAAAAGCTGAGGTTTTGGTCTGAGACTTCAAGGAGAAATATTTGCACCCTTCCCTCCTCCCTACCAGAAAGAAAACAATACTTTCTCCTGGAGACAGATAAAGGCATCTTAACACCATTGTAGGTAAGACTTTGAAATAAAACGACACACACACAAATCTGTTTTCTGATGCAAAACATCTTGGCACAGATTCTTTTCTGCAGGGTTGGGTGGTTATTTCAGAGTCAGGAGCAAAGAGGAGCGATGGGTCCCAGTAGGGCAAGAAACTCTCTTAAGAAAAGCTCTCTTCCCCCCACCCCCACCAAAAAACAAAACAAAACAAAACAAAACAAAACAAAACCCGCCAAGCTCCATAGCATGGAGAATATGATGTCATAGATATATCGCCAAGAGAGAAATTTTCTATAAGCGAGGAAATTTCAGGGTCTCGGGGCCAAACCGTGATGTGGGGGCTGAGATAGCAAGCAGGGGAGGTCTCCAGCATCCTTGAGGCCGCAGCACACATTTTTGAGTTGCTACTTAAGTTGTTTGACACAAAGTCTTGCTTGAGTCAGGTGAGATGAGAAATGATCTCTGAGAGAGAGGCAGAGATACAGATGAATGTGGCACCCCCTTCTTTCAGGCAGAACTGAAAGCGTTTACCCTGCCACGGGAGGTTACAGCGCCCCCTGTGTTTGAACCAAGCACAAGATGTGGACAAGCTGGGAAGGGAAAGCCTCAGTTTGCCCTTGGAGCCTTCCCTGCTTCCCAGGCTGATGACTTCTGGTGTGCTACTGCTAGTGTTTCTTCAGGTTTTCCCCACTTGTGTTAGCTTTGTGAAGTATTATTTTCTTCATCATAACTTGCCTTCAACAATGGTACATGACCTGGTTCAATGTTTGGTTCTGAACTTGTAAACGGACACATCTGGGTATCATAACATAATTTGACAAGGCCTCAGGAGGGAGCCATAAATGTCTGTAACATTTTGATATGTTTTAATGCACCCAACTTAGATCGTGTTGAAATAAAGCACTTTTCAAAGAGAAGTCCTTCTGTGGTTGGGTCCGTGTGTGGTGCGCTGGGCGGGGAGCCCTGCCTCGTGGGAGGGCTGGGGATGGGAAGGCGAAGGCACATCCAGGAAATAAGGTGATTTTCTTCCCTAATAGTTTATGGTTTGAATGGGCTCAGGCTTGGCTGTAATATTTCAAATAGGAAGTGAAAGGAGAACGTCCCCTAGGAGTCTCGAGTTCAGGTCCCGCTGGAGCCAAATGTTGTAGTGGAAAGAGCTGGGAACTACCATTTGTTGAGGCTGGATTTCGTCCTGACTCTACCCCAGGCCTGTTTTGATCCTGAGGCCAATTCGTGAAACCTTTTGCTAGGACTTGGTTTCCCCATCTCTAAAATGGCTGAGCCACCCTGTAGGGGTATGGGGACCTGGGCTTGCCTCTGTTGGAGACAGCTCCCAGGGGGTTGCCAAATGTAAGACCCCAGATGAGGGCCCAAGTACCACCCTATGGTGTGGGGCCAATGTGATGGTTGATTCTGTGTCAACTTGGCTAGGCCATGGTGCCCAGATATTTGGCCAAACACTAGTCTAGATGTTGTTCTGAAGGTGTTTTTTTAGATGAGATTAACATTTACATCAGTAGACTTTGAATAAAGCAGATCGCCTTCCATAATGTGGGTGGGCCTCATCCAATCAGTTGAAGGCCTTAAAAGAAAAATAGTACCTCCCCTGAGGGAGAGAGAATTCTGCTTCCAGATTGCCTTTGGACTTGAGCTGCAACACTGGCTTCTTCCCTGGGTCTCCAGACTGCCAGCCCACCCTGCAGATTTTGGACTTGCTACTCCCCAGTTGCATGAGCCAATTCCTTAAAATAAATCTCTATGTATACGTGTTCTGTTGGTTCCGTTTTTCTGGAGAACTCTAGCACAGAGGGGTTATGTGTTTGGTTCACAACATTTGAATATGTGATTGATAATTATCTTCCTAAAAGCATAAATAGTGACCAACATAATTTGGCCTCTAAAAAAAGCTAACAACTGAGAAAAGATTTTTATCAATGTCCCCAGATGATACTTATATGTTTCTTTTATTTTAAAAAAATTTTTTTAAAGTTTTTTTTATTCATTTGAGAGAGACAGAGAGAGGCAGCGAGAGCATGAGCAGGGGGGAGGGGCAGAGGGAGAGGGGGAAGCAGGCCCCCTGCTGAGCAGGGAGCCCGACCGTGGGGCTTGATCCCAGGATCCTGAGATCATGACCTGAGCTGAAGGCAGACGTTTAACCGACTGAGCCACCCAGGCGCCCCTATATGTTTCTTTTAAAAGAGAGAGAGAGGGACGCCTGGGTGGCTCAATGGGTTAAGCGTCCAACTCTTGATTTCAGCTCAAGTCATGATCTCAGTGTCCTGGGATCAACAACCCCCATGTTGAGCCCCGCACTGGGCTCCATGCTCAGTGGGGAGTCTGCTTGGGATTTTCTCTCCCACTCTCCCTCTGCCCCTCCTCCATTCATGCTCTCTCTCTCTGAAATAAATAAAATCTTGTAAAAAAATCAAAAAAGAGAGAAAAAGACTTGGATGAATCAATGCTCCCCTTAAGTGTTGTTTCGATTTTTTATATTTAGAATTTTCACTTCTAGCAGTAGCTTTTTAGTTGCTGAATTAACTAAGCTGAGTGAAACAGATGAGCAGACAGTTAAAAACACTTCCAAGGCAGTGAGGTTTTTGTACTGTTCAGACAGTGTACGTAGGTGACAAAGACAAAAGATAACAGTCTGTCTGGGGTCCCACCAACACCCCAAATCAGGCAGTAAGCCTTACAGAAGTTAGAGTGCTGAAAATTATCCAGCAAATACTAATAACCTTCTCCCCAAGGAGCCAGCAGTTCTTGGCTTTCTTTATGGAAACAGATTTTATGAAATAATCTGGTTTTGTCTATTTTAGGTAATGAGGCTAGTACTGAATGGAGTTTGCTGTGAGCACAAGACCGAGCTGTGAAGTTTTGAATACATTTGAATAGGTTTTGCTGAGAAAATTGAACTTGGGTAAAATCGACATTGCTCTTTTCATTTTAAAACTACACAAAATAAAAATGATTCCTTATGATTTAAGGGGCGGCTGGGTGGCTCAGTCGGTTAAGCTTCTAACTCTTGATCTCAGCTTAGGTCTCGATCCCAGGGTCGTGAATGTGAGCCCCATGTTGGGCTCCACGCTGGGCATGAAGCCTACTTTAAAAAAAATGATTACTTATCATTTAAATATATACTTCAGTTAAATTTAGAAGCTTTAAAACCATGGGCACATTGGGAGGGACTGTAAGTTCTGGTTTGCTCAGGACAGTTTCAGTTTATACCTGTCATTCCATTGTAATTATCAAAAGCAGCCCCTAGTTCTCTCAAAATGTCCCAGCGTGGATGATTAATATGGTCACTCTGCACATTGGCTAGAAAAACATCTCACCGTAATTATAAAGCGTGAGGTTTTCAAGATGAAACCATAAGTTGGAACTTAAATTTAAATTTTATGATAGAACTGAAATCTAAACACATGTTTTGGTGAAAGGCAAAATATAATATGGATACTTTATTTTTAAAGATTTATTTATTTATTTTTAAAGAGAGTGCAGGAGGAGCAGGGGAGGGGCAGAGGAAGAGGGTGAATCCCCAGCAGACTCCCTGCTGAGCGCAGATGGGGGAGGGGGGACGACACAGTTTGATCTCAGGACCCTGAGATCATGCCCTGAGCTGAAATCAAGAGTGGGACGCTTAACCGACTGAGCTACCCGGGCACCGCAATGTGGATATTCTCATATCAATATTTTGATAACACTGATTTAAACGTTCTTGGTTTACAGTGAAATCCTTTTTTCCTAAAGGAGTTTTTGAACTGGACATATTAGCATTAACTCGTGCTTGAATGTCACTCTGCCAACAGCTGCAGAGCCATCTAAGGGGTTGGCAGCACCCAGATTTTGGGTCTCTTACAATATCTTCCACGGAGAGAAATCTGGGCTCCCAGGGGAGAAGCTGGTGCCAAAGACTGGGGCAGAAGGCACAGGACAGAGTGGGTATGTCTTGCTAGTGTAAAGTAATTATGTCTCAGAGATGTCTGGGGTATAATTTCAGGAAGAAACTTCTGACGAGAACTCCCATGCATAGCAAATATTGAATGTCTGGGGCTATGAAAACCCTTGAGTCCAAAATGATCCCAAGGGAAGATTCTGAAGGTAAGGCACATATCTACAGAAATGTGACGTATTGTTCAACTTAAACTGTTAAATTTCCTTAGCCAAATATTGTCTATAACACAAGCCGCAAAAATACATTTGAGTAGTTTGCCCAAAAGCTCTTGAGTTATCTAAGTGAAAAGAACAAATCATAATGTCCATGACCCATTAAAAGAAACCAACATGGGAAAGCTGAATTTAAAATAGTGATAATAATCTAGAAATTATTTAGAGGTACCAAATGAATTTTGCAAGGTTGCCAAAACAATGTGAATATATATACAAGTTTATTTTCTTTCTGTGTATCAGCAATAAGAGATGAGAAAATAAAATTTAAAAATGGAAAGGTAGACCCCATTTACGGATTGGAAAGACAGCAGCTCTCCCTAAATTGATCTAAATAATCCCAATAAAAAGCCAAGTAATATACCTCAATTAAAAAAAAAAAAGCCAAGTTGGACTTTTTCTTCCTTTCTTCCTTCCTTCTGTGATAATGCTGCAGATAAAATAGAAACCATAAACATGAACATTATTCAGCCATTAAAGGTAAAATTACGAAGCTTTTGTAGAAACAGGGAAGATATTATTACATACAGTGAATAAAATAGCATGTTCAATAGGATGGCAGGCTTCTATTTAAAGCCAATGAAAAAAGTTACCTTGGAGGGGTAGGATTATGTTTCTTTTTTTGTGTTTCTATTACACTGGCATTTAGGTTAAAATTTCCTGCTAGTAGGTCCAAAAATATTGAGGGTCCAAAAGCACGTCTATGTACAAAAAGCACACACAAAACACAAACAGTGGCCAGAACATGAAAGCCAGCTAAGCTCTCATCCCCCTGCTAAGGTCAGTTTTCTCCAAGTGCAAGATTTCTAAGTCTTTGTTCCCCTAGGACGGCCCTCCCGCAACTGAAATGCAGTCCCTGTGTGTGTGCATGTCATGTACATCGCATGCATGCACACTAATGTGACCGTGCACAGAGAGACAGACAGACACACACACACGCCAGAAAGGAAGGCTCATATCCGTAGTTCTAGGGCCTGTGAGAAAACCAGTAGGAGCCGGAGAGATGGCATCTCTGTGTGAGAAACTGGGGAATGCCTTGTGTTTCGGCTCAGTCACCCTGGACACGAAACCCACTTCCTAATCGTACTCTCAATGCTTCTTTCAGGAATTAGAAAAGCAATAGCTTTCAAAAGGAGGGAAAACACCCCATTATAAATTCTGGAGACCTGAGGTCATCCAGAATATGCCGTCAGACCGTTGTACTTTCGTTTCTGACATTCTGAAGTTCTCTTTATTAAGAACTGGGTACCAGAGGCAGCGCCCGATACGAGGCTACCCAAGACCTCGTATGGAGGATTCTGGAAAATGTATGCTTCGCTCCACCCTGGCACACGGGACAGTCCCTGTTCCTCCGTCTTAACTTGCACATCAGGAGGTCTGATCCAGGAGCTCAGGACCTACACCCCCACCGAGCAGGGGCTCACCTTCTCCAAGGGCTGTAGGGGAGGAGAGGTCCAGGGACGGTGGCAATGAGGATTACTTTTGGATTCAGGGAATTATCAAATAAACCTAATTTAAAAATAATTACCTCAGGTGTCCACCCATACCCTACAAAGATACACACACTAAGCCAACAGTAAAGAGCCCTAAACTGACCCAAATGATATCAGATGATCCTAAAATGCCCTTAGACTCCCCCACCCTAAAAAATGTCAAGGATCCTGAAGATTCTTGTACACTCCATGCCAGGAGTTTTGAACTTTAAAATCAGAATCTCCTGGGGGAACTTCTTAAAACAGATTGCTGGGCTCCA